CAGCTACCCTCATAATTACCTAATCTTAAGTTTGTGAACCATGTTTGTATCAAACTTTGCATAAAGATATTAAAAATGCATTGATGTGGAAGAATGTTTCCTTTGGCCTTGCAACTTTTTTTTTTTTTTTTTACATAGGATATGTGAACCAATAACAGCATATATCAGTTAATACTCAATACATGCAGGTGAGCAGGTAATTATTCTTAGTTGTAGACTTCTCAACCTTACTCCTTCAACTTAAAACTGATTACATGATCCATGTCAATTACCTCTTAAGTTATGTGAAAAAGACAAAATACACATAATTGTGCAAATAATCGTGGTACAACTGAATGTCAAGCCAGTGTTACCTACTGACAAATTGGTGAAATAAAACAATAGGTATTCTAACATGTTACAATCAGCATCAATCCCCATAGTGTCAAGTGCATCTTGACCTTGGAAGAATGTTTAATGTTTGAAACAAATAAATGTGCTAGGCATCAAAGGTCATTTAGCACTATGGTAAAGTATTGTGTAGGAAAGGGTAAAGAGGAGTTAAAGATTAGGATAAAATATATTAGATGGCAAAGATTAGAGCATTATAGGATAGTATAGTAGTGAAGAGGGAAATGAGGGGAGTAAGTGCCCTAGAGCAGAGATTAGTAGAAAGGGGAGGGGTAAGGGAGAACTTGAGGAGGAGGAGGAGGATAGATAGGAAGATGGGGTGGTGTGGAGTGGAGTAGTTCGGGGGGGGGGGGGGGGTAGAGACAATAAGGATGAAGAGTAGTAATAAGGGAAGAGGGGGTAGGCATTGAAGAGGACTGTGCAGTAGGAGATGGAGAGAAGAATGTTGGGAGAGAGGAAGAGGTGCTTTCTGAAGGTTGAGTAATAACCCGAGTAGGAGTTTTGGAATGCATAGAGCTGTCAGTAAGCGTCCAAGAGGGGGCATTAGTATCAGTGATGGAGCTGTGGTCAAAGGAGGGGCAGGGGTTGGAAAACCATCAAAATTATATTTAGATAAGCTAGTTGATGAAGGGGTAAGCCTTAATGCCCCTATTAAGGGTAAAGAATCTTCATTAGTGGCCATAGCAAGCCTAAATAAAATGGGAAAAGAAACAGTCTACCTCTCAAGGTTCCCATAAGGGGTAAGGGCTATGCAATTAACCCATGGAATACCATGCCCATGGTTCCCAGAGGCCGTTCATGACTGACACAAAGCAAGCCCTTCATCTTTTCAGCAAGGCTCTCACATGGAAATAAAGATACAGAAGAGGAAAGGGGAGAAGAAAAGACCAAGCAAAATTAGTTGAGGTGTGGGTTGAGGCCCAAGGTTGGGGTGATCCCCTACAATGGGCCTCAGTCTCCGTCTGCTAAGCCCTCCCACGACAATGAGCAAGGTATTGGGAGGGACCTTGAAAGAAAGGGAAAAAAAAAGGAAAGGGGCATTGAAAGGACTCCGAAGCTCAATATGTCATATTAAAGGCATGAAGCTTGGCCTTTATTACCATCAAAATTCTTAGTATATTTATTTGGAATGTAACTTAAGTCAAAAATTAAATAAAATGAACTAACTAAATAAAATATATTATTCTTTTCACTCCTCACAGCTTTTATTTCCTACTGTACATCTTTTCATGATTTTGCTATAAAAAGTTTACAAATATTTTGCTCTAAATATATGTGAAATTATATCAGTTTGATATGGAGATCCCGGAAAAGAACCTACAAACTATTAAATGCAATGCACAGCCTAATGTTCACTGCTTATACTCCAGTGAAACAAATGCAGACCCATTGCAAAATTTTGAATATTTCTGTTGGTATCTCTAACTCTTTAATGGATATGTTAACTATGTACTGAAAAAAACAAAATAACATTTAGTAAGGGATTACTGTAAAAAGTGGTGGTTCCTTTTCCATACATGGTTGGTTTATATTCTGATATCATAAGAAATATAAAAATCAATTATGGTATACCAAAATCCTATTTCTGGAAGCAGAGAAAACCATTGTGAAAAACTCTTGCAGACCTGAACCTGCAACCATTACAACTCTTTCACAGATGACCCCCCACCCCCTACACACACACATACATCATAACATGCAGTCAAATAAACACATGCATGTGAACACACACACAACACTGGAAGAAAATCAAGAAAAAATTTGCACATATCACAGACAAAACAGACATAGAAAAACAAACACACACACACACACACACACACACACACACACACACACACACACACACACACACACACACACACACACCACACACACACACACACACACCACACAAATTTGAATGAGTTAATTAATTAATTAAAATTATACATGTATAATCACTACCATACCCCAGTTAAGAAGGCTTAAATGCTCTACTTAATGCATAATGGATACACTATAGCAGCATCACCTACACTAACCTTTTGTTTTTCGGGCTGACATCCATATGGATTATAAAATCCAGGAATTAATATCTTTCTCCCTGATTGGCGTGGCAAATGAGCAGTTTTGCATGTGTAGATATCACATGAAACTCAGCTTGTCTTCTTTGCTTTGTACTACATTTAAAATTGGTAACTATGACATCCTGCAGAGTGGTTTCCCAACAGGATTAATATTTTTCCATATCAAATTACAAAAATGCTTCACACTTTTCCTTGTGTGTGTGTGTTTGTGTGTGTGTATGTGTGTGTGTGTGTGTGTTGTGTGTGTGTGTGTGTGTGTGTGTGTGTGTGTGTGTGTGTGTTGTGTGTGTGTGTGTGTGTGTGTGTGTGTGTGTGTGTTGTGGTGTGTGTTGTTGTGTGTGTGTGTGGTGTGTGATGAGGGAGAGTAGGAGCGGAGGTGTCGGGAGGAGCGAATAAGAAAGTTAATCCTGTCAGTGCGTCGGTAAGGGGCGCAGAAGCCAGTCATGTTTTCAGGCATGGCTACTTAGGGAGGGCCGGAAGTGGAAGGACGAGAGAGAAGGAGAGGAGAAGAGAGGGGGGGAAGGGGAGAGACGGAGAGAGAGAGAGGCGGGGGGGGGGGGGGGGGGGGGGAGAGAGAAGGAGATAAGAGGGAACAAGGTCAGAATGAGGCGAGAAAGAGGAGGAGGAAGAGTGAGGCAAGAGGAGGGGGAAAGGAGATGGAGTAGAAGAAGAGAAGAGGAGGGAGATGAGCTGAGAAGAGGAAGGAGAGAGATGAGGAGGGACGTAATGGAGAGGAGAAGAGAGGAGAGAGGAGATAGATAGAGAGAGAAGGCCAGGAGGGATAAGGAGAAGCGAGAGGTAAGAGTAAAGGGGAAGAAAGGAAGAGGGGGCAAAGAGAGAGGAGAGGTGCGGGAGAGGGGGGGGGGAGGGGGGCGGGGGGGAAAAAGGCGGGGAGAAGGGAAGAAGAGATGAGAGGAGTGGGAGAGTAATGAGAGAGGAGGGAGAGGCAAAGAGAGATGGAGAGAAGGAGGGGGAAGAAGATGGTTGAGAACGAAGAGGGAAGAGGGGGGAAAGAAGATAAGGGAGAAGGGGGAGAGAGAGAGGAGGGAAGGAGAGAGAGAGAAAGGGGAATTGGAGGAGAGATGAAGAAGAGGAGAAGAGGAAAGAAGGACAATGGGGGTGGGGGGGATGGAGAGAGGAGAGAGAGGGGAAGAGAGGGGAGTGGAGTAGAGGGGAAAGAGAGGGGAGGAGAGGAGAGAGGAGAGAGAGACAGAAGGAGGGAGAAAAGAGGAAGATGAATTTGGGAGGGTGAAGAGAGGAAGTGAGAAGAGAGAAAGGGAGGAGAATGGGGATGAGAAGGAGGAGGAAGAGAGAAAAGGAAGCAAGAGAGGAGAATGGCGAGAAGAGAGAGGGGGGAGGAGAGGAGGTAAGAAGAAGAGGAAGGGATGAAGAGAGATGAGAGAGAAGAGTAGGAAGAGATAAGAGGGCAAGGACGAGAGAGAGAGAGAAGAGAGGAGAGAGAGANTATATTATATATATTATATATATAATTATATATCTATATATATTATATATAGACATATATATATATATATATATATATATATATATATATATATAAATGCACACACACACACACACACACACAGACACACACACACACCACACACACACACACCACACACACACACACACACACACACACACACACACACACACAACACACACACACACACACACACACACACACATACACATACACGTTTATGTATGTATGTATGTATGTATACATATATAAACGTGTATATGTGTGTATAAACACACACACACGTTGTATATATGTATGTATAATGTATAACATATATAAACGTGTATATATGTGTGTATATAAACACACACACATACACACACACACACACACACACACACACACACACACACACACACACACACACACACACACACACACACACACACACACACACACACACACACACACACACAACAACATTACACACACACACACATACACACACACACACATACACACACATACTCACACATACATACACACACATACTGTGTGTGTGTGTGTGTGTGTGTGTGTGTGTGTGTGTGTGTGTGTGTGTGTGTGTGTGTGTGTGTGTGTGTGTGTGTGTGTGTGTGTGTGTGAATGAATGAATGAATGAATGAATGTGTGTTTGCATGTGCGTGCGTACTCGTATACAAGAAAACGGCTTACTCAACAATACTTGGAAAAAAAGTTCATTAAATAACAATTTAGCGAGAGAAAGGATTTCATTGCACTATATTCTCAGTATACAGGTGTTCCATTCCAAGTAAAATGTATTACATTTGCTGTAGTATTACAAATAATGTAAAGTATGGTATACTATTGCTAACATTTGCAAGAAACTTATGCAACAAACAAAATCTAGATTTTGTTATATTTTCTCATTTTGGTTTTGTTTACATGTCGACGAGCCTAAAGTTCCTTCAATGTTTTTATGTATGTCGACATTGAAATAAGTGTTTTTTTATTTTAAAAATAAAACGTTTTGAAATGCAGGTGTAGTCAACGTGATAGTTTTGGTAATAGTTTTTCACATTTCTGTGATATAAACCAATGGCCTGGTGTTATTCAAATGTCAGTAAGTTCGTTGTGTCTTTCGTCTTCTGCTTATAAGACACGCCGGAATAACAGTTTATGTTGTGCCTTGTGAATATGGACGAATAAAGAAATGTTTGCTCATTCGGATTTCCATGTATATGTGAATTAAACAGCATTGTTGTAAGATAGAATGCAGAGATGAAGATGTTTTGCCAATACCGTGCAACTGTGAGCTTGGCTCCAACCTCTGGGCTGATAGCAAGGAACAGCAATTTGTTGGACCGAATTTCTTGTAGTATTCTAAGGTCAGGTCATGACCGCGTTGTAGGACTACGTCGAAGCTTTTCGTGTCTTACCACTGATATTTTCCATAATGCATGTGTGAAAGGAAACATTGTAAAATCTAAGGGAAATGAGTTTCATTGGCCAGCCTTCGGAACTGCGGAATGCAGAAGAAAAAATAAACCTTTATTATGTTCCTTTGATTCAAAGTATGGAACAGCACAGTTATTCTCAACAACCACAATTGCAGGCCAGAATGAAGCTCAGAAGAAAAAAGATTTTAAGATTGGTCCTGGACTTGAATACTTCATAGCAAAGAGCTCTGGGACAACACAGAATGAAAAAGTCTTTTCCAAAAGAGATTTAGAAAAGCTTTCCCACCCATACGTTGATGTGGCAGATATCCAGGGCCATGGGCGTAAAGTTTACTTTGATGTTTATGGCTGCCAGATGAATGTAAATGACACAGAAGTTGCTTGGTCTATCCTCCAAGCCCATGGCTACCAACGTACAAATAACATCAGGGAAGCAGATGTTGTTTTGGTCATGACCTGCTCTATTCGAGAGGGGGCTGAGCAAAAGATATGGAACAAGCTTGACTACTTGAGAGGTTTGAAGAACAAACGACTGGCAAATAAGAAAGCTACGCCTATGAAAATTGGGATTTTAGGATGCATGGCTGAGAGACTGAAGAAGAAATTGGTTGAGAAAGAGAAGAGCATTGATGTTGTTGTTGGACCAGACAGCTACCGTGATCTTCCAAGGCTTCTGGCCATAGTTGAGAGTGGTGAGCTGTGTCATTATGTGCTTGCATGTTATTTAGGTTACTTTAAAATTGTGAGAAATTACTATTTAGATTTTGTTTTGTTATTGTTGTAAGTATGAGTGATTTGCCTTTGATATTAAATATGTTTTACGTCTAGGGACATATATCATGTTTATTAAATCCATGCTAATCCATCTCAGAAAGTCATATTTTTCTAATGCCAAGGAATCTGTAATCAAACATATACCAGTGGTTTAAGTAGTAAGGTAACATATTGATATCAATATTAATATAATTGTTTTCATTCAATCTTCAGCAAAATTTGAGAGATTTGTTATAATTATTTTGCACCTTTTTCAGGAGAAACAGCTGTAAATGTCCTGCTCTCAATGGAAGAGACTTATGCAGACATTGTGCCAGTCAGGCTTTCAGAGAACAGACAGTCTGCCTTTGTGTCTGTTATGAGGGGCTGTGACAACATGTGCACGTATTGTATCGTGCCTTTTACAAGAGGACGGGAACGATCTAGACCAGTGGAATCCATTGTAGAAGAAGTGCGTCACCTTTCAGGTGAAGGCGTGAAAGAAGTCACCCTGTTAGGACAGAATGTTAACAGCTATCGAGACACTTCAGTCATGCAGCATGCAGGCTTCTTTGAGGATGAGAGACAGACATCCCTAGCCAAAGGCTTCAAAACGGTGTATAAAACCAAGAAAGGAGGTCTACGATTTGCAGACCTTCTTGATAGGGTATCACAGGTTGACCCTGATATGAGAATTAGGTTTACATCCCCACATCCAAAAGATTTTCCAGATGAAGTCCTATACCTGATTCGAGACAGAAGTAATATTTGTAACAGTATTCACCTCCCAGCACAGTGTGGAAGCACGAGAGTTCTGGAGCTAATGCGAAGAGGATACACAAGAGAAGCGTACTGTGAATTGGTGAGTGGCAGCTAGTATAATAGGTAACAATTTTTGTCATTCTCTTTCTATCTCATTCTCTCTTCTCCTCGTCTCTCTCTCTCCTCTCTTCTCTCTCTTCTCTCTCTCTCTCCTCTCCTCATCTCTCTTCTCTCTCTTATCTCTCTCTCTCTCTTTCTCTCTCTCTTCTCTCTCTCTTTCTTCTCCTCTCTCTCTTCTCCCCTCTTCCTCTCTCATCGCTCCCTCTCTCTTCTCTCTCTCTTCTCTCTCTCTCTCATTCTCTCTCTCTCTCTCTCTCNATATATATATATATATATATAACACACATGCAAATACTTTTTTCATTTATCTATCTACATTCTCCAAACATTCTTTATTCACATTCATTAATGATCAGCAGAAGAGATATAAATCTACAATCAGATTACTAATTCCCTAATTAAACCTGATGTGAACTCATCCTCTGGTCTGGTACTCTGCTAAAAGGTTTACATCTGGAAACAGCATTTTATAAATCACTAGAATGTTATACTGTGTAAACATATTCTATTTACATTCCTATTGGCAATCCCAGAAATACTGTATTCCTTTCCCATGTTAAAGGCCACTCTATAAATTAGTCTGAATTACCCATTTACATTTCATGATACCTTACTCTCTTTGACTTTTCAAGCAATTATCTAAGCTAACTCTTAATTCCACCTTCTCTCACTTATTTATTTACACAAACTCTTATTCTTAATTCTTAATTCTTAACATTTTTACACTCTTAAAATACATGCACTCAAGCATACACACTCATATTCATTCTCTCTCCCTCTCTCTCTCTCTCTCATATACTCTCTCCTTTTCTCTCTCTCATATACTCTTTCCCTCTCTCTCTCTCTCTCTCTCTCTTATACTCTTTCTCTCTCTCTCTTTCTCTCTCTCTCTCCCT